TGAATTGATCCCTTTACCATTATGTAATGGCCTTCTTTGTCTCTTTTGATCTTTGTTGGTTTAAAGTCTATTTTATCAGAGACTAGGATTGTAACCCCTGCTTTTTTGTTGCTTTCCATTTGCTTGGCAGATCTTCCTCCATCCCTTTATTGTAAGCTTATGTGTGTCTCTACATGTGAAATGGGTCTCCTGAATACAGCACACTGATGGGTCTTTATTCTTTATCCAATTTGCCAGTCTGTATCTTTTAATTGGGGCATTTAACCCATTTACATTTAAGGTTAATATTGTTATGTGTGAATTTGATCCTGTCATTATGATGTTAGTTGGTTATTTTGCCCGTTCGTTGATGCAGTTTCTTCCTGGCATCGATGGTCTTTACAATTTGACATGTTTTTGCAGTGGCTCGTACTGGTTGTTCTTTCCATGTTTAGTGCTTCCTTCAGGATCTCTTTTAGGGCAGGCCTGGTGGTGACAAAATCTCTCAGCATTTGCTTGTCTGTAAAGGATTTTATTTCTCCTTTGCTTATGAAGCTTAGTTTGGCTGGATATGAAACTCTGGGTTGAAAATTCTTTTCTTTAAGGATGTTGAATATTGGCCCCTACTCTCTTCTGGCTTGTAGAGTTTCTGCTGAGAGATCTACTGTTAGTCTGACGAGTTTTCCTTTGTGGGTATCCAGACCTTTCTCTCTGGCTGCCCTTAACATTTTTTTCCTTCATTTCAACCTTGGTGAATCTGACAATTGTGTGTCCTGGGGTTGCTCTTCTCAAGGAGTATCTTTGTGGTGTTCTCTGTATTTCCTGAATTCAAATGTTGGCCTGCCTTGCTAGGTTGGGGAAGTCCTCCTGGATAATATCCTGAAGAGTGTTTTCCAGCTTGGTTCCATTCTCCCTGTCACTTTCAGGTACACCAATCAGATATAGATTTGGTCTTTTCACATAGTGCTATATTTCTTGGAGGCTTTGTCCATTTCTTTTTGCTCTTTTTTCTCTAAACTTCTCTCTCGCTTCATTTCATTAATTTGATCTTCAATCACTGATATCCTTTCTTCCACTTGATCGAATTGGCTACTGAAGCTTGTGCATGTGTCACGTAGTTCTCATGCCATGGTTTTCAGCTCCATCATTTAAGCTCTTCTCTACACTATTTATTCTAGTTAGCCATTCGTCTAATCTTTTTTCAAGGTATTTAGCTTCCTTGTGATGGGTTTGAACATCCTCCTTTAGCTCGGAGAAGTTTGTTATTACTGACTTTCTGAAACCTACTTCTGTCAACTCGTCAAAGTCATTCTCTGTCTAGCTTTGTTCCATTGCTGGCAATGAGCTGTGATCCTTTGGAGGAGAAGAGGCACTCTGGTTTTTAGAATTTTCAGCTTTTCTGCTCTGGTTTCTCCCCATCTTTGTGGTTTTATCTACCTTTGGTCTTTGATGATGGTGACCTACAGATGGGGTTTTGGTGTGGATGTCCTTTTTGTTGATGTTGATGGTATTTCTTTCTGTTTGTTTGTTTTCCTTCTAACAGTCAGGTCCCTCAGCTGCAGGTCTGTTGGAGTTTGCTGGAGGTCCACTCCAGACCCTGTTTCCCTGGGTATCACCAGTGGAGGCTGCAGAATAGCAAATATTGCAGAAAGGCAAATATTGCTGCCTGATCCTTCCTCTGGAAGCTTCATCTCAGAGGGGCACCTGGCTTATGAGGTGTCAGTCGGCCCCTACTGGGAGGTGTCTCCAACTTAGGCTACACAGGTTCAGGGACCCACTTGAGGAGGCAGTCTGTCTGTTCTCAGAGCTCAAACACTGTGCTGGGAGAACTACTGCTCTCTTCAGAGCTGTCAGACAGGGATGTTTAAGTCTGCAGAAGTTTCTGGGACCTTTTGTTCAGCTATGCCCTATCCGCAGAGGTAGAGTCTACACAGGCAGTGAGGCCTCATTGAGCTGCAGTGGGCTTCACCCAGTTCAAGCTTCCCGGCCACTTTGTTTACCTACTCAAGCCTCAGCAATGGCAGACACCCCTCCCCAAGCCAGGCTTGTCGCCTCACAGTTTGATCTCAGACTAGTAGTGAGCAAGGCTCCGTGGGTGTGGGACCCACTGAGCCGGGTGCGGGATATAATCTCCTGGTGTGCCATTTGCTGAGACTGCTGGAAAAGCACAGTGTTTAGGTGGCAGTGTCCAGATTTTCCCAGTACAGTCTGTCACAGCTTCCCTTGGCTAGGAAAAGGAAATCCCCTGACCCCTTGCACTTCCCAGGTGAGGTGACGCCCCACCCTGCTTCAACTCACCCTCCATGGGCTGCACCCACTGTCCAACCAGTCCCAGTGAGATGAACCAGGTACCTCAGTTGGAAATGCAGAAATCACCGTCTTCTGTGTCGAACACGCTGGGAGCTGCAGACCGGAGCTGTTCCTATTCGGCCATCTTGGAACGCATCTGCAGTAGCGGTTTCTCAGTTTTGCTGCACATTAGAAGCCACGTAGCAGGCTGAAGATGGCCTCCAAACATATCAGGTCCTAATTCCTAGAACCTATAAATGTTGCCTTCTTTGGAAAAAGGGCCTTTGTATATGTGATTAAGTTAGTTAAGGAACTTGAGACGAGGAAGTAATTCTGTATTATCCAGGTAGGTCTCAAATGCCATCAAAAAAGTCTTTTTTTTCTTTTTTTTTTTCTTTTCTGACAGGATCTACTTTGTTGCCCAGGCTGGAGTGCAGTATGTGATCTTGGCTCACTATATCCTCAACCTTCTTGGATTCAGGTGATTTTTCCACCTCAGCTTCCAGAGTAGCTGGGACTACAGGCACACGCCACCATGCCTTGCTAATTTGTTGTTGTTGTTGAGACAGGGTTTCACCATATTGGCCAGGCTGGTCTCAAACTCCTAGGCTCAAGCGATGGAATCCACCCACCTCAGCCTCCCAAAATGTTGGGATTACAGGCATGAGCCACTGTGCCCAGCCATAAGTGTGCTTATAAAACAGAGGTGGAGAGAGATTAAATACACAAATGCAGGAGGGGATTTGGAGACAGAAGCAGAGACTGGAGTGATGTAGCCACACATCACAGAAAACCAGAAGCCACTAGAAGCTGGAAGAGGCAAGAATCGGATTGTCCCCAAGAGCCTGCAGAGGGAGCTCAGTTCTCTAACACTGTCATTTCAGCCCAGAGAGAACTGATTTCGGACCTCTAGCCTCCTGAGCTGTGAGAGAATACGTTTCTGTTATCTTAAGACACCACATGTTTGGTCATTCATTACAGCAGCCACAGGAAACAAACCTAGCCACCCAGGAAGATTTTAAAAGTCCCAACGCCCAGATCACACTCCAGGCCCATCAATTAATTTGGAATGTCTAGGAGCAGGAGCCAGGCCTCAGTATTTAAAGCTCCTCAGATGATTTCACATACAAAGTTTGGGGACCATCAGCTACCATAAAGATTCTTATTTCTTATTTCAAAATCTGCCCCATCTGGCTTTCTTGGAGCCTGATACTCCACCACTTACCATTAGGGATTTGTTTCTTGGCATTCTTTCATCTGTTTGCACCTGGGGCAGAATATGCTCTGGTTATCCTCAATGCAAATGATAATCCAAACATTTTCCTACATTTTTGTTTTTTTTTTTTGATATGGAGTATCACTGTGTTGCCCAGGCTGGAGTGCAGTGGTGTGATCTTGGCTCACTGCAACTTCTGCCTCCAGGGTTCAAGCAATTCTCCTGCCTCAGCCTCCCAAGTAGCTGGGACTACAGGCCCGTGCCACCATGCCTGGCTACTTTTTTTTTTTTTTTTTTTTTTAGTAGTAGTAGAGACAAGTTTTCACTGTGTTGGTCAGGCTGGCCTTGAACTCCTGACCTCAGGTGATCCACCCACCTCAGCCTCCCAAAGTGCTGGGATTATAGGAGTGAGCCACCACGCCTGGTCAAGATACTTTCCTAGTCAGTTTAGACTATCTAGCCCAGTAGATAGGTTAGAGTGAGTGTCCTCAAATTTTGAAGAAGAGGTTTTGTGTTTTTAACTTACCAAGTAATTTGCATGACTTATCATCAGCTTCAGTGATAAATGTCTAATGAACTATCGGATTATTGAACTCTAAATTTAAGATAACAGCAAGTTGTGGTCAGCCCTTGAGAATATGTCTTATGGTACCTTCAGTCTTTCTGTCTTCCTTCCAGGGTTCCTTTTGTTGAGGACTGGTATGGTTTGACTCCGTGTCCCCACCCAAATCTCATCTGGAATTGTAATCCCCACCTGTTGAAGAAAGGACCTTGTGGGAGGTGACTGAGTCATGGGGGCCCTTCCCCCTTGCTGTTCTGGTGATAGTGAGTGAGTTGTCATGAGATCTGATGCTTTACAAGTATTTGGCAGTTTCCTCTGTGTGCTCTCTCTCTCTCCCCCTCTCTCCTCCCTCTCCTCGTTCCTCTCTCCCTCTTCCTCCCTCTCTCTCCCCTGCTGCAATGTAAGATGTGCCTTGCTTCCCCTTCCCCTTCTGCCATGATTGTAAGTTTCGTGAGGCCTCCCCAGCCGTGTGGAACTGTGAGTCAATTAAGCCTCTTTTGTTTATAAATTACCCAGTCTTGGGTGTGTCTTTATGGCAGTGTGAGAATGGACAGATATGGGGACCCAGTGCCTTCATGGGCCCTTGTCCTCCTGATGAAGCACATGGGGGAGGCATCCCACTTCCCCATCCATTCCTCACCTCTCCTTTCCGTGTTAGTGAATCACTGGCCTCAAAGAATTTCATAGTTCTCTGACCCACACCTCTGAGTCAGCTCTATGGGAATGGCACCTCTTCTAATAAGACAATATGCAGAATCTCCAGGCCTTGTACATGAAAGGAGAAAGTCCCAGTGAGCAGGAGTTGCTGATTAAACAATCTTGACTTTGCCCTTTAAGTTTTGTTGATCATCTCAGGGTAGAACCTCTAGCCTCAAGAGTTCGCTTCTCCATCTGTAGATCTCTCTTCTCAGCTAGGATCAGCTGAGATTTTAAAGAAACAATGCATTTCACTACATAGAGAGGAAAAGAGATTTAAGCCAGGCATGGTGGCTCACATCTGTAATTCCAACACTTTGGGAGGCCGAGGCGGGTGAATCACTTGAGGTCAGGAGTTTGAGATTAGCCTGGCCAACGTGGTGAAACCCTATCTCCACTAAAAATACAAAAATTAGCCAGGCGTTGTGGTGAGTGCCTGTAATCCTGGCTACTCGGGAGGCTGATGCAGGAGAATCGCTTGAACCTGGGAGGTGGAGGTTGCAGTGAGCCAAAAGTTGCACCACTGCACTTCAGCCTGGGTGACAATGAGACTCTGTCTAAAAAAAAAATAAAAAAAGAATTAAGCAGAGAATGTAAGGAATTTGAAAGATGTGGCTTGCAAAATAGATTCCACTGTTACTCGCTGTCTGGGCCCTGTACCAGTTTACTTGGACCTTTGGAAGAAAAGAGGACAAGAGGACCCTGCTAAGGAATTCTCCCTTTTAACCTTTAATATCTTCTTTTCTCTTTTTGAGACAGACTCATCCCCGAGGTGATCTCTACCCTGCTTTGCTCTGGGGCAGGAAGCAGCTTTGTGTCTAGTACAGGTTGAACAGGATTCTAATTGTTTAATACGAGATGATAACCAGAGCATTTGGGTGGCTAAAATCACACATATGTGGAAAGATGTGAGGCAGTGGGGAAAATATGTTATCCGTCACATTTACCTTCTGATGAAATTACTTCCTGATGCAAAGTCTGACTTATTGTAGTGTCTTTTTGAATGCATTTTTACATGTAAACTCCACTTTACATGCTTTCGTATGAAGGAATGACTTGTGCCTAGGGCAGATGCATGCAGCTGTGTGTACATGCCTGAGTGCATGTGGATTGATGTGTATTTGTGGGAAGGTTAAGGGCGGCTTACACATGACCCCTTTGATCACATCGCATCAAGCAGTGTTTCATGAATACAGCATCATGGATACTGTGGGTTTTCAAACTTGTGTTGATTGAGAATCAAATGTTCTTTTCAAACTGAGAAAGAACTGTGAGAATGGACAGATATGGAGACCCAGCGCCTTCATGGGCCCTTGTCCTCCTGATGAAGCACATGGGGGAGGCATCCCACTTCCCCATCCATTCCTCACCTTCCTTGTTCTCCTTTCCCTGTTAGTGAATCACTGGCCTCAAAGAATTTCATAGTTCTCTGACCCACACCTCTGAGTCAGCTCTATGGGAATGGCACCTCTTCTAATAAGACAATATGCAGAATCTCCAGGCCTTGTACATGAAAGGAGAAAGTCGCATCTAGGCATAGGTTTGAGAATTGAGAAGGAAGGATAAACTAGATTTGCCTCTTCCTGGTGCAAGGCATGAAAATAGGAAAAAAGTGGCTTTGGGAGGTCAATGTGCCCCAGAACACTGAAGCCTGAAGATTATTCTAATCCCCTGATGCTGTCAGAAGCATAAACTACTAGCTTTTTAAATTTTTTTCTTTTTGCTTACCACATCAGCTACCTTCCTTTTGCTAACCATAACCCTAATCCTGCCCTAACCCTAACTCAACCCTGATCCTGCCTCGTTTCCCCTGTTACTGTGTTTCTACAGAGCAGGCCACTGATTTACCTCCCCTGCAGCTCAGCTTCCACACCAGTTTTCAGACCAATTTTGAATCGAGGCAAGAGTAGTCTACACTGGCTCAGCTCTGTAACAATTCCCCTACTTCCAGACCCAAACACACACACACACACACACTAAAGTGGGACACAGTGTTGAGTCACTCTTTTTGCCACTACAGCCATAGACCTCTGCCTTATTTCCCACAGCTCCTCCTGCACCCTTATATTTGATACATGAACTTGGCCTTATAACAAGGTTCTTTTTCCGAGTTCCACAGCTGGAGCCTTTGCCATGCACCCAATATATTTTTGTCATTTGTTTCTTTATTCATTCCGTATTCACTGAGTCCCTGCTCAGGCCTCTGCTTGTTGCCAGGGATTTGTACCTGCACAAAGAGCTCATGTCCCCTTGGGCTTCTGTTCTGATCACCTGGTGGGGTCCTCTGTGACTGTCTCATTCTTGCCAGTTTCCCCTCCTCAAGTGCTGAGACCAAGTGCCTCACCTCTCTGGGTGGCAGAGTCCCGTGACTCACACCTTCCAGACGATACCTGCTTATGTGCCTGGACCTCAGAGTCCTTCCTTCCGGGGCCTGGGCTTGCTCTGTGTGGGAAGGAACATCTTGTTACAGATAATGCATCCCTGATGCTAACTCTTTGCTTGAACTGTGATGGGGCAGGATAGGTTGAGCCTCCACAGACGGCCCCTTGTAGTAGCAAGAAACCCTGTCCAGCCCCAGAGAAAACACAGAGCTGACACCTGCCCGTTTCATGCAGTTGGCCTCGCGTGCTAATTAGCTAAGTCCTGGAAAGTGGGTAAAGCCCAGTAACCTATGGTGTGAGTCCCAGTTGGACATGGTGACTTTATGTGCATCATGTGCATAAAAGGATTCTGTTGTTAGAAAAGAAGTAGCTCTAAGAGGAGAAAATTAAAGGGTAAACTAGAGAAAGAAACCTCTTAGAGTCACATGAGCAAGTTCCTTAAGAAAGAATGTTCTGCGCTTGCAAGATGATGAAGGATGCAGATGAGACTGGGCTGGGCTGGAGGGACTGCAGCGAACTTCACTGAGGAGAGAACTGGATTGAGAGTCCCAGGTCCTACCTGTGCCACTAAGCGCACTGTGCGACCACAGTGTATTACCCATGTGTTTCTGATGCTTTGACATGTG